ACAATGCTTTCATAAGCAAAATATCTAATTTTTTTATTAAGTCTTAAGGTTTGTAAAGCAATGTTTCACTCGTGCCTTTTTTTTCTTGTCACATATTGCCTATCTATCATGGAAAGTAATTTTCATTTTAAGATTAAAAATACTTTTATGCATCAGAAAATTTTGAAATTTCACAGGCAAAATCTTTATAATGTCTGGATAATTATCAAACATTTCATAAGAAAAACTTTATATTTTATCTGTTATTTTCAGTAATTAATCTCTGTACTGGTTTGGTAAATTTGACAAATCTTGCAACCACCATAAACAAAATTAGGAAATAAACATAAATTATGCCTCTTTCATTCTAGAATGTACACAAATTATAATACAAATCATAAATGCAGAATAATCATTATAATACAATACTAAACATCAAATTAATTTATAAAAGATAAAAGCAGACATATTAAATATTTTCTAATCAACACTGTATAACAGAACATTGATAAAAGCTTTACTTATTTAGATCAATGTTTAAGTAAGAATGTTATGTCCAGAAATTAATCAAAATATACTATATGGAGGTATGCACCCTGCTACTGATTATAACTGTTGTAATGTTCCAAGTCCTACCACTTGGCACACAGCTGACACATTCTTACTGCTGACTCAGATTAGATGATAGAATAGAGGCATATTTGAAACAAAAGAAAGTTCTGATATGATACTTTATTTCTTCTCACACAGTAGCTTTTTTTATTAATGCTGCCCTCTATATGCTCAAATTTTTTTGTTTGTTTTGCAACTAGTGTTGATATACCCCATGACAACAACACATTTTTTACCAAGATTTTTTGTCGCAGTGTATTTGTACTTATCCACTCAAAATTTGGTGATGACTTTGCTGTTTATTGTCACGATAACTTCAACTGCTACCACTACCATGGTTCAGCTACCTGTTATTGTGACTACTGGTGCACTGGACAGGAGGATGAAGACTTAGACATACTTTTCTCTCCTCCCCTCTTTATCATGCACTCTTTATCAGATGCAGTTGATGCTCCTAGATCTTCATTGGATTTTCTGGACTTAGTAACACAGGTTTGTTATGTTTTGTCATATTCCCAGTATTTTATGACCCCTCCCTTTCTTGCTATATGACACATCTGTGCCCAAATGTTTGTTTTTCTACCCCCTCCCAATTTTGCCAACCAATTACATTGAGAGATTAGCACAATGCCTTCCCCTTGCTCTTCTGAGGCTTATGCTTTTGCCTACAGTTGGGCTTCAAACAGTTGGATTCTTTAATCCTAGTTTGTGGTTCAGAGCCTGATACCTCACTCCATTTTCTCCCAAGCACAGTTCTCCCACCTTCATTTAATCTTAACCTTATTCCAAGTTTGTGGATGATGAAGGTTGACATATTGGAAGCATACCTACACACCCCTTTATCCCCTGCATCTCTCAGCCCCTTACACTGTTGTTAGGTGGTCAAGGGTTTTGCCAATTGCTCCACTCTCGTGGGCTTTGTTTCCATCATTACATGGACAACTGGCTTCTTCTAGCTCCCTCAGTAGCAGTTTCTTCTTGCCACACTCAGTTTCTTCTTAGAGAAGCTGCACTGGTGGTTGGCTGATCACGTTAGAGAAGTCTGTCCTGACCCCGACACAATATCTTATTCATCTTGGGGTTGTTTTCAAATCCTACCTTAGTCATGCCCAACCTTCTCCAGTTCAACTATTGTTTATGGAGCTAGCAGTTCAGGAGGCACAACCCTCTCCTACTCTACCTGTGTGGGAGATTCTATCACTTTTTGGAGCTTGGGTGCCCTTGAAAGCTCTTATTCCCCTGGTTCAAGACCACATGAGGACTCTTCAATGGGTATTACATGATCAATGGGACCTTGCCAGAGATCCCCTGGATTTCCCTATCAACCTACCTTCTTCCCTTCTCAACAATTTTGCCTGGTGGCTAAACAGAGACAACACCCAACTGGTGTTCCTCTTTCACCTCACACACCAGATCTGGACCTTTTTTACAGGTTGGAGAGTGTTTTTGTTCTTCTTGAAAGATCTCAGGTTGTTGGTCACTGTTGGAGTCCAAGTTTCACATCAATCTCCTGGAACTTTTGGCTGTTTGTCAAGCTTTTGATCATTGACTTTCTCTTCTGAAGGGCAAGTCGGTCATTATCCATTTCAACAACTTGACTGTGGTCTCTTACATCACCTGGTAAGGAGGGACCCGTTCTCTGTCCCTTTATTTTCAGACATTGGATCTTCTGTTCTGGGCTCACAACCAACATGTTCACCAGCAGGCTTATATCCTGGGTACTCTCAATCTTGTTGTGATTCTGTTATCGCATCCTGACAAGATGCTTCCCACAAAGTGGTCCCTCAATCCACAGGTCTTCTAGTGGCTATGCTCTCAGTTCGGTACATCCAAGTTGGATGCATTTGCCACCCATCAGAATACCAAACTCCCTCTCTTTTGGTCACCAGTTCCAAAACCTTCAGCATTGGCAGTAGATGCTTTCAGCCAAGATTGGAAAGACCATTAAATTTATGCATACCCTCCCATCCATCTACTTCCCAGAGTCTTATCTACCATTCAAACTACTCCATGTCAAGTCCTTCTTGTGATGCCATTCTGGCCTCCTCAGACTTGGTCCCTATTACTATAGTCTTTACAGTTGTCAACACCATTACCTCTTCCTTCTTCCCCATCTCTCTTTCATTAACCACATGCATCTGTATTTCATCTATCTGTTTCTACACTCTGGCTTCACACATGGGTTTTGTCCAGTCCTTTGCAAGAAGGATTGGTCTTTCCACATGGGTAGCATCCCTTATTTCCTGTTCAGTCCATTCTTTCTCATTATTTGTATATCAGCACAAATGACATGTTTTCACCATGAGGCCACTCCATTGTGGCCTCAGTCCTTCTTTCCCACCTATCCCTCACCTTTCTGAGTACTTCACTTTAGACAGTGGTTTTTCTGCGTCTACTATTGCAGTCTACTGGGCAGCCTTGTTCTTTTCCTTCCGTTTTTCCAAGTTTTTATTTTTTTATTTTTTTTTCTCTCCTGTCATCCCATTTTTGTATCCTCTGCCCTTCCCAATCCACTCCTCTACCAATTTGGACTCTGAATGTAGTCCTACATGCCCTGACCTTTCCCCCAAATGAGCATTTGGTGGATTGTTCCCTGTACCGTCTTTCCTTCAAAACCTTTTTCCTCATCATTTTAGCTTATGGGCATCATTGGTTGGATGTTTTTGCCATTAATATATCTCAAGCATCCTCTACCGTAGCACCTATGTCCTCCTCTATCCTGATAGGGCCTACTTTCCCAAGACCTTGGCAGCTCATCAGGGTAATTTTGCATTCACCCCTATTTCCTTACCCTCCATTTCTCACTTGTATTCCCATACCAATCTAGATTTATTCCTGTGTTCAGTCCGAGCTTTAGGTTGTTATGTGGCATGCACCACTTCCGTCTGTGATTTCCATTCCCAACTAATTATCCACTGGAATCCTTTCATATCCAGAGACCTTTCCCAGTAACCATTAAAGGCTGGATTAGACAACTTATTAATTTGGCTTATTCCTCCTTATCCTTACTTGACCATCAACTTTTCCAGTTTCCTCTCACCAGATCTGTTATGTCCTTGGCTGCTTGTTTTTGTTGTCTATTGGAGGAGATCATCTGAGCCAGCATGTGGACCATTTCTTACACTTTTGTTTCACATTATCTACATCATTTGGCCATTTCCTACTTAACCAGATTTTGTCTGCCTTCTTTTGCAGTTTTACATACTATGGTGCAACTATAAGTGGGTAAATTT